AAATTGAGACAACTATTTATAAACTAAAAAAATTATCAAACAAGTTTTTATAACAATTTTTTAAATTTCTATAAATATAAACTGAAAACGAAATAATGAAAGTGTTCTTAAAAATAGGGCATGCAAGTAAGGTGTACCTTTTCCATGAGGCATTTCGTGAATAGTTTATAAATAAATAAATAAATTCAAGGCATTTCGTGAAGTGTCAAATGCTATTTAAATTTATTTTTTATTTTTTTATTTATAGCTGGAAAATGCAATAACTAAATTTTAAAACTTTGAAACATAACTCAGTAACCTAAAATAAAAAATATGATAAGGATAACCAATATAAACAAATAAAAAATTATAAAATTATTATTTTGTATTACATTACTATTCTTAATTAAAATAAGATTTGTGATTGGCCTGAGTGGGGCCCCTTTTTTAGGAAAAAAAATTGGTCAATAATTTTTCAAGTTGAATATAATTATTTGGATGAAAAATATTTTTTTATATTTTTTAATATTTGGTACAATAGAAAATGAAAATCAACGTAAAATATTTTTTATAGTCAACAGAAAATAAGTTTATATAGACAGAAAATATTTTACAATTTTAAGAGGCAGAAAACGTTTTACGGACTAAAGTCTTACCAATATTACCGCATTACCACTACCACTCTCATCTCCACCACCACACCACCGTCACCATGACCTCTGCCATCATCAACGTCGCTATAGCTGTCGTCACCCCGACCACCATGCCACCACCTCCACCTCTACTTTCATTTTCATTTCACCACCACCACTACCAAACATTGGAAAGAAGTTTGAAAAATGTTTATTGAAAAAAAAAATTATAGAAAATAATTTTTTATTAAAAAATATTTTTCGTCCAAACAACCGAGCGTAAAAATAAAATATTTTATTTCCAAGGTATAAGCGGTACTTTCGGAATATATAAAAGGTTTAAAAAAATGATAAATTACCAATAAATTATAATAATTGAATTTAATTCTTATTGAAAATAAGTCTTAATAAAATCATAATTAAAAATAGATTTTTGCGACAATTTTTTTGCATGTGTTACTAAAAATTGACAATTAGTGTTTTTTTGTCATGATTTTCATAAATTGTCACTCAAACTTACAATTAGCAACGTTTTTTTGTGACGAATTTTTTAAACTGTCACTGAAAGTTAAAAATTAGTGACATTTTTGTGACATTTTTTTAAATTGTTGTTAAAACTTATAATTATGGTTGCAAATAAACAGAACTATTGGTGAACAGGCTTAAGTTTGACTCGATAAGGACTCATTTGGATTTGGTTCGTTAAATTTTTATTGCGTTTGAGTTTGAACTCGTTAAAATCTTAATAAATAAATCCCAACATATTAAAACTCAGCTCGTTAGTTCGGCTTGTTAGCTGGCTAATAAATATATTATTTATATATTAAATAATGTAAAAATAGGATAAATATGTTATTTTAAAATAATATAAATGTAAATAATAACTAACTATAGATAATATATTTATATAATATTAGTAGTAGATTTTATTATTATGGTAAGATATTGATTTTTTTAATATGTTCATATATATTGTATATATAATTATATAATCGAAATTTCAATTGTAACTTTAGTTTTATACGTAAGTATGAATTTATAATTTTTTTAGCTCATTAAGGTTTGAGAATAGACTCAAACTCGAGTCAAGCCTAAACCAACTCGACTCGAGCTCAGTTCGTTAAATTTTTATTAAGTTTAGATTCAACTTGAATTATTAAAATCTTAATAAATAAGTCTAAATATATTAAACCTCGACTGGGCTCCCCTGGTGCTGATCGCTGATGTGGCTGTAAAATTACTTAACGCGTGGCACCAACTAAATAAAAAAATGGGAAACCTCTAGAAAATAGATATACATATACATAAATAAATAAATAATTACTTATAAATCTCATATTGAGAAATAATAATCTATTTAATCCCAAAAACTTTTTTATAGACTAATTAATTCTATTGATTTTGAAAAGGTAAATTTAATATATTAATTCCAAATTGAATTTGCGGTTGTACTCTTATTTTTATTATGTTTTCTTATTCTTCTTTTTTCTTTTGTACTAGAAAGGTAAGATATACAACATATGGGAATCGAATTTTGGATGAATTTTTATATGAGAATCTTTTTTATTTAGAATGACTTGAAATGTGAGATTCTTCAAACATTTCAAAAAGAGTACAAAAGTCCATAGTAAGTTTTGGGCAAATATATAATTTCAAATTATAACATTCCAATGTAACACTCCAAAAAAAAAAACTTATTGATATACTTTTCTAAACGTAACATTCTAATATAACACTCCAAAAAAAAAACTCTTTAATGTAACACTCCAATGTAATACATAAAAAACTCTTTCGTGTATTTTTTTCAAATGCAACACTCCAATGTAACACTAAAAAAAAAAGATGTGAAATTCTTCAAACCATTCCAAAAGGAGTATAAAAATTCTTTAGTAAGCTTTGAGTAAATGTATAATTTCAAATTGTGAATGTTACGTTTGGAAAAAGTATATTAAAGAGTTTTTTAAATATTTTTATGTGTGTTACATTGGAGTATTACGTTTGAGATTACATTGATTGGAGTGTTACTTTTGAAAAATGTACATTATGGAGTTTTTTTGTATAATACATTGGAGTGTGTTATATTGGAGTATTACGTTTGGAAAAAATACACTAAAGATTTTTTTGGAGTGTTACGTTGTTAAGTTTGAAAAAAGTACACTAACGAGTTTTTTAATGTGTTACATTGGAGTATTACGTTATTAAAGTATTATATTGGAGTGTTATGTTCTTATTCGTAATGTGAAATTTGTTCGAGAAGAAACGAAAAATCCAAAATCTCTATAGTACGAATTGTTCAAATGTGTAATTTCACATTTAGAAAACCCCACTTTTATTCCTCAAAAATTAAATCCAAACGTGTAAGTAATTATCTTTTTGTGTAATTTTCACTTTAATAGGACCTTTAGTTTTATAAGAAAAAAGAAATAATTAAACAATTCATAAGATCACATTTTAGGTTTTATTGGTGCTTCACCCAAAAAAAAAGAATTTTAAAAAAAAAATAAATGTTAATTAAATTAATAGTTAATTTTAAATTGGGCCGGCCCTAAATTTGGCAACTGTTATATTTGTATACTAATGATTGAAAGGCTTTATAGCCCATTGTTAACCGTTTGGGTTTGCGGCATAGCAACCATACAAATGGATTTTGCAGGGTTCTCCTGATGCTCAATTTCTTATGCTGCGTTTGTTTTGATTATAAAAAATATCCACTATAATTTTTATCTATTTATTATTATTATTATTGTGTGTGTAGAAAACGTTTTCATGTATCTGATTGTGACCATAAAACTAATATGCTAATAATTGTGATAGCAGTGATGTTGGTGTGGCGGAAAAGATAGAAAAGAAAATTAACAAATGCAGAAACTACTTTATTCTCATTTTTTTATTGGGTGTAGAAAATTAGATAAAAAAGAATATAATTTTTTTTAATATAAATAATTTCTTGTTCAATTGTTTAGTTAGCCATAAAAAATAAAAATAAAAACGTATTTAAAAGTTTTTTTATTTCCCTTTTATTGTTATTTTTCTGTATAAATTCATAATCTCAACATAATCTTTAATGATTTTTATTAAGAACAATGCTTCCGATCTCCAGTGGCACCCTCAGTGACGTGTCAACCTCTCATTGGCTGAAAAAAAAAATTAGTTTTTTTGAGCCAATTACAGCCGACCCCAGCACCCCCACTAGGGTCTGAAGCATTTTCCTTTTATTAAACCTAACATTTCTTTAAATTGTGTGAGTTGGATAAAGATTGGCTACATACTCATGTAAAAGGTAAACTAATTAAGATGAAGGACTCATGCTCTTGATGGTGCAGTTTGCCTTTTGTGGGTCCACATTGGTCAATTTAAACTATGTATTTTTTAATACGCACATGATAAAATTATTTATATGAGAAATTATTTTAATCAGATATCAGTATCTACTCGATTAGATCTCAAAATCATAATAAAAAAAATTAATAATAAATAAATAAACGATTTATTTTAAAATCATAATTGTCATTTATTTTATTTTTCTCATGAGATTTTGTGATATGATCATATTATATAGCCATCAATATTCAATCGATTTAATTTTTTAATTCTTCTTTTTTTTTCTTTTTTTTCTTTTTTTTTTTTTTTTTTTTTTTTTTTTTTTTTTTTTTTTTTTTTTTTTTTTTTTTTTTTTTTTTTTGCAGATAACAGATCTCTTATTGCACCGTAAAGCCCTACAAACTAAGCAATTTGGATTGATGGATCCTTCTATGGCCCTACAAAAGACAAATTGCACCGTCCAGTCCATTAACACGGACCAGGGAGAAGCCTCCTGCACAAATAAGTGCAGCAAAAGGGTGTTTTTACAAATAGATTGACGCAGTGAAATACACGGGGACTAGATATCGTTCTAGTAATCTTAAATCCACAAGGAAAAGAAAATATCTTAATATTGAATGAAAAAAATTGTATAAAGTTGTCTTTGCCATGAGGCTTACATAACTATTTATAATAAACTAAACCTAATACTTGTAGGAAAAATAATTCTAAAACTAGAAAACTTAAATCATCACAAATTAGTAAACCTAAGAGAATAAGAAACTAAAATTCTAAACTATTTAAAATCCTAGTCAAAATCTAATTCATGAGATTTTGTGATGTGATCATATTATATAGCCATCAATATTCAATCGATTTAAATTTATTTATTTATTTATTTTTATTTTTTTTTATGCAGAGAACAGATCTCTTATTGCACCGTAAAGCCCTACAAACTCAGCAATTTGGACTAATGGATCCTTCTATGGCCCTACAAAAGACAAATTGCACCGTCCAGTCCATTAACACGGACCAGGGAGAAGCCTCCTGCACAAATAAGTGCAGCAAAAGGGTGTTTTTACATATAGATTTTCAAACGAGTTGAGGCAAATTATATTCTAAACCAACAAAGTGTCTTCACATACACGACAAAGCCTATAGATTATTTACATATTTCGAAAATTTATAGATTGTCATACATATTATTACATGATTGACATTGATACATGGGAAAATACTGCAAAAACACCACTTTCTAAGAACTACTTGAGCTCAAGCTAGTGCCATCAATGCCATGTTATGATATGCTCCAAACCTCTGTACAACAAGTAGAGCAATAACAGACACAATGTATGATGATCTCTACAAGCCCCTAGAACCAGGAATTTCTATCCACTGCAGCTGCAGCTCCACCTCACCGCGCTCCACATTTCGCAGTCTGAGAAACATGTTTTGAACAACTTTGCCGTCTGCCCAGATGATGCAGCTCTCTTCTGCTAGGCAGTTTTCGCGGGTAGGTTTTATTATTTTGATTATGGTACCGCTAGGGATGCCCTCCAACTGCAATTTTACGGCTTCTATGAACGGTTTAATGTCAAACTCTGCATCTCCCATTTTATCATCTGGGGTGAATGTATCCTTGTCGTAGACTGACTGCATTCACAAATTCAAATGGCGTAAAAATAAAAAACAAAATCATTAGAATGTTTTGGCAAATATATTTACATGAACAAAAAAATATTTTAGGACGCATGGACACGGACATGGACACCCTTTTTCAGGAATTGAAAATGACTGTTGTGCTTTTTATTTATTTAGGTATTTATTTTTCTGTGGACAGGTGCTTCATGAAGGAAAAACCAATGATACAGAGGATGTGAAAATAATTTTGCCTGAGTAATTGATTCACTTTTTTAACTTTGAAGGCTACACAATGCATGCTAAAATTATCCACAAAAAGTAAGTGCATGAACTTCACTCTCTGTTCTCTCTCTTTTTTTTTTTCTTTTTTTTTTTTTTTTTTTTTTATTTTTTGCTTTAAAAAATATATAAAAATTCAGCTGAGATGCAATTTCACTTCATTTTTAAACTCAGCAAAATCCCCTTTCTGTGGTGTCATCGAGCAAAATATGAGAAGAGTCGAATAGATATAATTTCCCTGGTTTATCTTGGAAACACATTTCTGTGCCTGAACAGCGGGTGGTAGTGGAGGTGGTAGGTGGAGTGGTGATTTATTATTTACAATTTACATTAACAGTTTAAATGAATCTAGTACGACATACAAAATAAGTAAACCACTTACAAGTTTGATTGGGAGATTTGGGTCTGCAATAGAAAGTGTTAAATCTTCATTCCACTCAGGATTCACATTCTTCTTCACTACGCGAGTCTTTAATTTCTGCTTCAAACAGAACAAAAACACAAAAACATCACTACAAGCTAAACAATACCAGAGTCTACAATAGTCACCAAAACAAATATATTTATATTTATACTTGGTTTTACAAATTTAATTGTATTCATTGTCATTTTTCATTGCGCTAGTAGTAGTATCTCAACTCACAAACAACTTACAAAGTAACGAAAATATAGAACACAACATGTCAATACAAGATTGGGCATGTGCCCTCTAGATTGGGCTTTGGTTTGTGTTGTGAAGGGCAGTTTGCCTTTTTAGGCTATGTCCTTGGGTTGCCTTTTCGTTTGAGTTTTGTTGGTTTGATTATGTCTGCTTGTTTCCCTCTCTCAGTGAAGTGTTTTGAGATACATTGTAACATATATTTTTTGGGGTTACTTGCCAAAAAAAGGGCATCTGTAGTTAATATAGATTGCAGATCATTGAGTTTTACCATAGTGGTTGAAGAAGGTTAGCTTATAAGAATTTCTATAAGATGGGGCATACGGTAAAGTTTTTTTTTTTCAGATGATCGAGAACCTGTCTTAGAGCAAAATCAAACATACTCTTCATTTTTATTACTTAAAATATATTTTTAAAAAAAAAAGTAATTCTTTATTTTTCCTCATTTCTTTTTGTGTATGAACTCCAAAGCTACTCTTTATTTTATCAATCTATACACATAAATAGTTTAAAGAATCTCCCAAGACTCTTCAAATGTAATTAGTGTCGAAGAATTTTGTTGAAAATATCTATTATAATAGCTAGTTCATTAAAATGATTAAAATATGACAATGCTACCTATATACTAGTTATAGACAAGTAATTTTAAACTCACCAAAGGAACATTAACTCGAGGTTTAGAGGCCATCCTAAGCCTATGAACTAGTCAAACCCGAGGGGATTCAAACTATCATTAATAACATGAGATATATATTGACGCAGCGGAATAAAGCACACGAGGCTAGATATCGTTCTAGCAGACGAAATAGTGACTAAATATCGTTTTAGTATATGAGAATTTTTGAATCGACAAGAACAACCTTGAATCCACAAGGAGGATGGAAGAAAAACTCTTTTAAAAAATTATTGATTGAATAAAAGTTGTCTTTGCCATCGGACTTACATAATTATTTATAATAATATAAACCTTAGAGACCAAGTATTCTTAGACACAAAGAAAACTCAAATTAGAAAACAATAAAATAATCTAATTCTTGGAAAACAAGAAACCTAAGAAATTAAAAAAAAACAAAATCAAAACAAATTAAGAAACCTAATAATTCTAAAATATTTATACTAAATTACGAGAATTGAAAATAAAAGTTACCAATCCTAAAATGAAAGTTACCAATTAGGATTGAAAATCCTAGATTTTTCTGTTCTTAAATTTTACCACAACTAAATTATATTGGGAAAAATATTAAATTTAGATGAAAATAAAATGTTTTTAAAAACTATAAATGATGTTTGCATAACTATTGCACCATTAACTGGAATTGAACATTTATTTCGTTCAGTAATTCAAGAAAAAAGATTCTAGCGGGAAGTAAATGGATTAAAAAAAATAATAATAATAATAATTAAGTAAAATAAAGAGAAATGCATAAAAAGATATTTCACCCACATAAATAATATTATATGCATCAATTAATATATTAATTAGTGTATTAATGGATGATATAATATAATTTTACAAATTTTGAGTTTTGTAATTTGTATAATAAGTGGGCTCATGGTTTTAAAATAATAATGGCGTAATTATTTTGGTATACTAATTAATATACTAATTGGTGCGTGTAGCACCAGCAATCATATTAGGGGGGAAAAAACATATTATTTAGGGTAAATTATGCCAATGGTCTCTGTAAATTTATACAATGTGTCAATTTGGACGATGTGTCAATTTGGTCTCTACTATTTTAATTTGCTCGATTTTGTCATTTAATTTAACAGATTGTATCATATTAGTCCAATAAATAACGGCCGTTAAGTTTGGTGGGCGAAAACTCAAACGATGTGTTAATTTGATCCATGTAGTTTGCACGATGTGTCAATTTGATCACTATCAAAATCGAATAAATTAAAAAAATATGGACCAAATTGACACATCATATAAACTACAAGGACCAGATTAACACATCGTTTGAGCACGTGATGACTTTCCGTTCACCAAACCTAACAGCCATTATTTATTGAATCAATGTAACACAATCCGTTAAATTAAGGGATAAAATCGAATAAATTAAAATAATAATAACCAAATTGACATCGTGTAAACTACCTGTATTATTTGTATAATTTACCCTATTATTTAATGCAATTCATTTATAATCTTCGTTTCCTTCCATGGTAGTCGGATTAATTACTCATATTTAATACATTAATAACAAATTAAAAAACAGAAGAGAAAAAAATGGGGTAAAATTGTCGACTATCACGACACACAAAATACTCAAAACTTAATTAATATCAATACTTTAACACATGAACATGGTCTCATAAGAATATTGGTGAAGTTTTTAAGTGTCTAGAGTTCATAACACTGTATTTGATTGAGAGATTTGAGAGGAGATTTAAAATATATATATATATATATATGTAAATAAAATATACTTATATTTTACATAATTTTACATATCTTTTTTCTTTTTTTTTCTAAATCACTTCTCAAATCATTAACCAAACATAGCGCAAGATGTCAAGATTTTGGCAAAACTTCACTACCCCAATAACAAACCACTAAAATCCTGTAAAATCAAATCTATGGTCTCATCGAACTAATCAAATTTATTGAGTTTTCCACTAAAATCCTCCCCAACTCCAAAACAGAGAAAGAAAAGAAAAGTTGAAGAACAAAAACAAGGTAAAGAAATCGATGACTGAGAAAGAGAAAGGGTAGAGTGGATTGAAAACCTGTTTGCCCATTCGGACAATAACGTAAGGATCACTGCTCCTGACGTCTCTGATGGCAAGATTTGCACCTCTGTGGATGTGGATTCTGAGCAGACCCAACAGGTTCTCCATTAGAAGAAATATGTGTTTGTTGATTAGTACACAAATTGAAGGTACAAAAGTGAAACAAACATGTTAAATGAAGGACATTTATGGTTGGGTTGGCGAGTGGTGTGATTCTTAAAGTGGAGAGAGAAAAGGGTGTCAATTCTATGGGTGGGTATTACGGCAACGTTATATGTATCGATTAATATATATATTAGTATATCAATTAGTGTTATGTTATTATTATTGATCTTATTTATTATATAAATTATAAATATTTAAAATTTTTAAAATTAGGTTACATTATCTGTTAGTATATTAATTGGTACATATAAGATTATTCATGAGTATTATGATTTGGAAGGTGCGTTTGTTTTTTGGTTTTTTTTTTAATTTTTTGATTATTTTAATTTGGATTAAAAAAATTATTTGAGATAGGTTTTTTGACTTTTTTAATTTTTACTAAAAAATTAAAATAATTATAATTTAAATGAGATATTTTATTTTATTAATTTTTTATTTTATTTTATTATTTTGTGATTATTTTAATTCAACTTATGTCAAACGAAGCCCGTGATACTATCCACCAATGGTGAGTGATGATGATGCATTGATGTGACTTGCCAGTAAATCTCAATCACACAATATAGCACTCTAGAAAACTTTAGGGAAATTTCACTCTTGAGGATCCTTGGTGCAGTCAAATGGACGAGGTCCGCAATCACCTTTGCAAACATGTGCAGGCCGTAGTCTGCAATGAAATAGTTATTAATAAAATATAATTTGTGATTAGTTAAAAATTAAAAATTTATCATTAAATGATTATATTCGTTTTATTTAAATTTAAACTAATTATAAGTTGTGTATAAATAAAATATAAATTTTGATCAAATAAAAAAAAAGAAAATACAAGGTTTGATTGATTTGGTGGGACTGGATTCCAATAGGCCAATTAATCAATTAATTGTTGCAGTAACCATCAATACTTGTTTCAACTTTAGAAAGACTTGTTTTTTGATGTGACTTACCAGTAAATCTCAATCACACAATGTAGCACTCTAGGAAATTTTAGAAAAAATCACTCTAGAGGATCCTTGCTCATTTGACTGAGCTTCTTTAGATGAGGTAGTAGTTCATCGAGTTGTCTGGAAAAATAAGTTAAAAATTAATTTTTTTATTTTTTAAAAAAAAATATGTAAAAGAAAATAAAAAAGTGATATAACCTAAAATAGGTTAAAGTTAAAAAGTGACTTTTAACCTGTTATTCAAAAGAGGATTTTTTATTTTCTTTTTCTTCTTTTTAAAAAAGATTTTTAGCCTATTCAAAACTAGAAAAATTTACCTATAAATTCTATCTTGAGAAATAATAATCCGATTAGTCCAAACAATTTTCTCATAAACCAATTAGTCTTGTTGATTTTGGAAAGGTAAATTTAATATATTATTTAAAAATTGAATATACAGATATACAATTATTTCTTTTCTTTTTTTTTTTTTGTGTTAGAAAGATAAGATACATAACTTATGATAATCAAATTTGGAATGAATTTTATATGAGAATCTTTTTTTATTTGGAATGACTTGAGATATAAAATTTTTCAAATATTTCAAAAGGATGTGAGATTGTTCAAATATTTCAAAATGAGTACAAAACCTCCTTAATAAGGTTTGAACAAATATATAATTTCAATCTGTAACACTCCAATACAAATGTAACACGCCCAAAAAATACCCCTTATTATACTTTGGATAAATTACACTTTGCCCCCCTAAAGTTTCACCCATTTCTCACTTTAGCCCTTTAAATTTGATTTTTCCCACGTTGGTCATTTATGTTTACAATATTTCTCACTTTAGTCTTTCATGTTTGCAATCATTCTCACTTTGACCCTTTAAGTTTGATTTTTCTCACTTTGACACTTCATATTTGTAATTCTTCCCACTTTACCCTTCATGTTTGGAAAAAAAAAAAAAGTAACACATCAGCTCCATATGTGATGTAAAAATTTCACTAAAGATGTAAAAAAATAAAAAAATAAAAAACAAAAAAATGGAAATCTTTTTTAGTCTTTAGTGAACTTTTTTTTTCAAAGTTATTCATAAACATTATTACATTATAGATGCATCTAGATTAGATGTCGCTAAAAAAATAAAAATAAATTTAACTAAAAAAAGAGAAAAATTCACTAAAAACGAAAAAAACGATAGTAAGGTAGCGTTTGGTAGAATTTTCTAAATATGATTTGAGAATAAAGTTGTATTTTGAGTTTGTGAGTTTTGGAATTATGATTTGAGTGTGAAAAATTTGTTAGATGAATAAGTTTTGAAAATAGTTTTGAATTGAGTGAAAACTTTTTTGATGTGACATATAATATTTGATACAAAAATTTACAACTCATAACCAAACAATACACAATTCAAAATTCTATTCAAAGCTCATAAAAAAATTTAAAAAATTTAGAAATTTTTTTATTTAAAATATAAAAAATAACATGTGCCAATTGAAAATAAATAAAAATAAAAAAATAAAATGTTCTGGTCAACTGGCCGAATGTCCAGGGGGACGACTGGCCGAACGTCCGGGACGACGACTAGTTAGCTCAAATTTTCCCGCTTTGAAAAGAATCTTCAAAGGTGGGTGTGGAATTATTTTTGAAAACTGTAAATAAACAAGACACTTAAGAGTAGAGGTAGAAATATGTTTGGAGAGCTCTACCAAACACAGCCTAAATTTTTCATTTCAAAATTGACAATACAAGTGCTTGAGTCAGTATATTTTCATTTTTTTCGTCTTTAGTAAACTTTTTTTCTTTTTTTAGTTAAATTTGTTTTTATTTTTTTAGATGCATCTATAATGTAAAAATGTTTATGAATAAATTTGAAAAAAAAAAGTTCATTAAAAACTATAAAAAAAAAATTTCTAATATTTTTGTTTTCTATTTTTTATTTTTTTGCATATTTATTGAATTTTTTACATCACACATAGAGCTTATGTGTTTGTGATGTGGTAGATTCTATTAGTTTTTTGGATGGAAGTTAGCCTATAAAAAAAGTAGGAATGATTGCAAATATAAAAGGCCAAAGTGGGATGGATTACAAACATAAATAGCCAAAGTGAGAAAAATTAAACTTAAAGTGGGATGGATTGCAAACATAAATGACCAAAGTGGGAAAAATTAAACTTAAAGGGCCAAAGTGGGAAAAATTATAAACATAAATGGCCAAAGTAAGAAAAATTAAACTTAAATTTCATTTGGTTTTAGATTTTTGGCTAAAAAAACACAAAAAGACAAAATTGGCTACATAAGCCAATAAGACAAAATGTTATATCCAAATCATAATTATTATACTTTTTTACTCACAAAAGTCAAAAAAACCAAAAAAGCCAAACCAAACGAGGCTAAAAAAGCCTCAACACAAAAAAGCCAGCTAAAAAAGTCAATACCAAACGAAGACTTAAAGGGCCAAAGTGGGAAATGGTTGAAACTTAAGGGGGCAAAATGTAATTTACCCTTATACTTTTTCCAAAGATAACACTTTAATACAACACTCCAAAAAAAAACTTCATACTGTAGCACTCTAATGTAACACAAAAAAATTTCTTAATATATTTTTTTTAAATGTAATATTCTGATGTAACACTCAAAAATGGGATATCGGATTCTTCAAATCATTCTAAAAGGGTGTGAGATTCTTCAAACCATTTTAAAAGGAGTACAAAAATTCCTTCGTAAGTTTTGAGTAAATGTATAATTTTAAACTGTGAATGTTACATTTGGAAAAAAGTAAACCAAATAGTTTTTTAATATTTTTATGTTTGTTACATTGGAGTGTAATGTTTGATTACATTGATTAGAGTATTACGTTTGGGAAAAGTTCGGGGTGTTACATTGTTACGTTTGGAAAAAATACATTAAAGAATTTTTTAATATGCTACATTAAAGTGTTACGTTATTAAAATGTTACATTTGAACGTTACGTTCTTATTTGTATTGTGAAATTTGTTCCAAAATAAAGAAAAATCAAAAACTTCTATAAAGCGGATTACCCAAATGTGTAATTTCACATTTGGAGAAACCCACTTTCATCCCTCAAAAATTAAACCCAAACATGTAACTGATTATCCTTTTGTGTAATTTCTACTTTAATAAGACGTTTGGTTCATAAGAAAAAAAGAAAAGACTAAATAATTTATAATATCACATTTTGAAATTTATTTATATTTCACCCTTAAAACTATTTCATATAAATTACTAATAGAATTGGTAACAATTATTAGTTAAAATTTTCATACCATCACACACTAAAAATCAATAAATATATATATATATATATATATATTATTTGATCTTCAGACATTTTAAACCATGTATATTTTGTTTTGTTTTGTTACTATTTGTTTTCCTGTTTTTGTTTTTAAACTTGTTATGTTGAAAAATACATTTAATTCTATAAGTCATGGTTTGTCGAGAGTCCCATTAAAGGGTCCGTATAATTGTCCCAATAATGAAATGGGTTATTAAATGGGTTTAGTTATGAAAATGAAACAATTCAATTAACTAAACAATCAACAATGAAAAATGTTAGGAATTTAAAAAGTTTTACTTAGGTGTCTCATATGAGTGTGAGACACACACCACGTAAGTCTCACACTCATATGAGATATTTGTTAAAGGTTTTATAAAACTTTTAAAATCTCTAACATTATTCATAAACAGGCATCAAAATGACCTAGACTATTCCAATTACAAGACAACCAAAATCCTACCCTCCAATCTGAAACAATTAATCAATAATAATTTCCATTATTTAAAAATTTTATTGTCAACTTGGCTAAGAAGCTATTAAGTTATTAAAAACATCTTTTGACCATTGTTAATTTACAATTGCTGCACCAAGTGCCTATCCATCCATATATATATTATATAAGGAAAAATGAGTTTCTATCTCACAAATTTTATGAGAGTTCCAATATCCCAGTCATTTTAATTTTTTAATTTAAAAAAAAAATCTCAGCATTTATTAACTTCTCCCAACCTACAAACCTTTTTGACTTCTTCCATACCTACTACCACACCATTTTCAACTTCTCCCATACACTATGGTTAGTAATGAGATTGTTAAATTATTTTTATAAAAAATCTAAAAAAAATAATTTTTATATTAAA